GCTGCTGCTGCGGCGGTCGTCCTCGCCGCCGCCCACATCGGCCGTGCCGGTCGACGTGGTAGATGGGGCGACGCTCGCGCTCTCCCTGCTCGAGGGGGCGCCATCGCCAGCGTCGCCCGCGCCCGACTCCTGGGGCGCGGCCGGCGGTGCCGCCGGCGCTGCGCGCGCGGGCGGCCCCGCGGGCCCTGGGGCTGCCGTCGTGCCAAGGTTGAAACCTGGTCCTCCATCCACAGGTTCTCTCTCCGCCCTCCCTCCACCTTGGTTCGACGCGCCCTCCCCAACCTCGTCCTCCTCAGTCGCGAATTCCTCTTCCTCCTCTGCGATGGGAGGCAGCGACTGAGGCAGGGCGGCGGGGGCGGCGGGCACGGATTGCCAGGTGAAGTTGCGAGTTGTGATCGCTCGGCGTTTTTCGTTGGGGATGCGCACGCAATCACGGTTGGTGTTGATTCCCGGGCCGAGGTAAAAACACTTTTGGGCTTTTGGCTCGGACTTGTGTGTGCACTTGACCTTGTATACGGCAGGTTTGAGGAACGGGTACGTCGCCCCCGGCGGGGGAGGCTCCCACAGCAAGGAGGGGCCCCGTGAATCATCGCGGTGCCCCCTATCAAACGGTTACCTTACCAGTCTGCGTGACACAAAATCATCCAGCACATGTATCCAACAGCAATGTTCGCAGACTCACGAACACCGTATTCCTCGCTCTCTTGTCACTACCGCGCCTCGCCTCTTTTGGTCTGCTTTCGATGCGCGAAAAGTCATTTTTAATCTGCCTTCCCGCGTTCTTTCGTCCCACGCTAGCCGACACGCTCCTTCCAAGAATACGAGGCTCCCTCTCGTGAGATAAAACCGGCGTGTACCAAGCCGTTGTGGTAAGCCCACAGCTCAGAAAGACGCTCGGCACAGCAAGAAATACGAGAGAGCGATCCCCATCCACGTCACTAGTCTGAAAGCATCCGTCTGCGCTCATTCTTTCCCCGCTATAATCATCGGCACGGTAAGCTGTTGCCTTACCAACGGTTTCGTCTCTGCCTTCGCAGTCTGTCTTTTGCGTTCTCAACAGCCACCACTCTGAAGTGCGACGTGGGCAGCTCCCAGCCTGCGTACAGTTTACCAAGTACTGAAGTACTTGATAGCCGCGAGGAACCCTTCACCGTTTTACTCTGGTTCTTGTACGCGTAACACCCATAAACGCCGTCCGCTCTCTTACTGCGCTATCCACCGTCCTACTCATACAACCATGGGCTCAGTTGCGCTTTAGCTCTTTCAGCTGTCAACGTGTCCCACTTGCTGTGGTATTCCTTCAGCGTGCTCGCGTTCAGGGAGCCGCGCTCCGTGATTCTGAGGAGCCTTTCGCCTTCATCACTCGATCCCTTCGTCCGTGTCGTTTCCTGTTGTTGAACAAGTAAAGGTGGCGATACCTTCTTTAGTTCTCTTGCTCAGCAACCTGTTCTTTCTCATGTCACATTTTCTCTTTACACCCTTGCCATGCTGCTCCATGCGAGGCCATCCATAGTTTGGTTCGGGAGCTTCTCTTGAAGTGTCATTCCAATTAGTTCTCTTCCGGTGTCTCCGATGTCTTGCATTCGCCAGTTGTGATCATGCGTGAGTCTTTCCACGTTGACCTTTACGTCTTCTGACTTTCATCTAGATATCCCGTCCGCGAGGGTATTCTCGCGTCCCGCGATGTGTTTCGCCACGTGACACCATTCGTTTTCGATTTCCATACGACCAAGCAGTATCATGAGCAGTCCCGCTCGCCTGTCTCTCGAGCTCCCGCATCTGTTCACCCATGATACCGCCGACACATTGTTTCCCTTCATCATCATGATAGCTTGTCCGGGTTGCGTCGGCTTTTCTCCCACGACCATTTGGACCACCCAGCATATAATTACCATTCCGAGCAACTCTGGCGTGCTGATCGTGATTGCGCTGGTTTCTTTGGCTTCTGCTTTCCATTTCAGCTCCGCGGTAAACGCGGGTTTACATCGATACCGCCAGAACACTTTTAGTTCGGGACAGTGTCCGCCCACTGCGTCGAAGCTAGCATCCGATAGGTAGCGATGGAAAGGCGTGCGTTGGACGTGGTTCAAGAAAAACGCGCCAAGTGACTCCTTTCTCTGCGAGTTGAACTTCCAGCGCCCATCTACAGAAGTCTAGGTCTCCGTGGAACTCCACCCGAGACTTAACTGCCGCTTCTCTCTCGACTGTCTGCTAGTAGTCTTGTCGTGTAAGCCGGTGAGGCACAAGAGGTTCCATGCGAAGTAAATCCCGGCCCTCATGATGTACGTCAGGTTCCAGAGTTTTCCTTCCATACTCTGGACCTCTGGCACACTGGCGACTTCTCTGGTCTGTGGCCAATCGCGTCGGTCCTTTTGCGTGTTGTCGCAATCGTCATTATATGGGTGTCTATCGTGTGTCCGAAAAAGTCCACTTTCGTCTTCCAGTCTGTGCTATTCTTCGGGGCCAGAATGCGCGTTTGGCCCGCCTTTGCTGGCCCAAAGAGTCTCACACAGCCAGACGCTAATGACGCATAGGCTACAATCGCTGAATCGTCGTCTAGCCAATGTTGTACATTAAAAGTAAAGTGAAATCGTCTACGTACACCCCGCACGAGAAATCATCGTGCGGTCCGCCTCCGTCATGCGGTTTCACGTTGCCATCTCGGGGCTCTCGGGCGGGTGGTCCGTCTCCCACGGCTACACTTGTGTTACGTGTGACATGATTTCGATCCCTTCGTCTTCTAGTTGTACGTTGTGGACGTTGGTGTTGCGGTGTGAATGTTCAGCAGCGGACGCCATGACTCCCCAAAAACCGGGCGAACCTGCCCAGCCAAACGTCAGTCGGAAGCCGGCGACTAGTACGTCTCCTTCCACATTTAGCAGAATTTTTGTTGATTGTCTGGCGCGAATCTCACGTTTCGGTAATCGTTGTTCACGTCAGCCGTGGACACAAAATAGTATCTTCTTGTCAGGCCATGTGACTCTCAAGCGCGTTATTTCAAAAAAGAAAGCAGTAAGAGTCTCTCTGCACAAACAGTCGTGTGCTTCTGTTACCGTATCCACGTTGACTCCTCCCTTCTATCCACGCAGTAGTTTGGGGTCAAAAGAAAAATCATAGATGATTCTGGTCTTTTTTCCTACCACAGTTCCCTGCGGCGATACACGAACGCCATTCATGCGAGCTGCGTCCGCTACGTTGAATACGATGCATCTGTTCTGTTCGACGTCGTCTATCAGCTTCTTCCACGCCAGTTCCGGAGAAGAGAGCGCTCTCGAGGTTAGGCGGATTGTCGTGCGTTTTCGTTGGCACACCGATGTCAACGATGTCGATTAGATTCGAAGTCTGGGAAGTGTTTTGGTTCCGAAGTGTTGTTCGAGGTTGCTCAGGTTCAGCGGCGGTGACACCAAGGTGCCGCCGATTGCCCTCGCGACGTCTCCCAACTTTCCGTCGTTCGTTTTCAGAAGCATGGTACCAGTCTTCGCAAGTTCGTGAATGATTTCCTGTTTTTCGTCGAGTCGAGTACCACGTGCTAGGGATTCCTTTTGTCCTCTCCACATTTCAGCCAGTAGCTTCCCAATTGGAGGTGGCAAGGCTGCCGACCCGTCACTATCCGTGTCTGTTTCACTCTTGCCGTAGGGGTCTTTGTCTCCAATAAGCGTATTGGGTCTAGGACTCTTGCGATCTTCTCCCTGGTGCGAGGAGTCTGCTTCTCCCGTGTTACGGGGGTCTTCTCCACTTTCCGCACTGGGTCTTTCTCTGTCTTTGTCGCCAATGCATGTATTGGGTCTAGCAATCTTGCGATTGTCTCCCTGGTGCAGGGGGTCTGCTTCTCCCTTATCACGGGGGTCTTCTCCAGTATTCACACTACAGGTGTCCCGATATAGTGCCGGTATGTGTCCAGGCGATTTGACCGGCACTATACCGGGCACCGGCACTATTCAGAATTGTGCCTGAATAGTGCCAACGGCACTTTTCAGGGCCTGATAATCCCTCTACAGTGCCGGCTTGGCACTATTCAGGACTGTTCGACTTCAGAGTGCAGCGCTTGCGCTTTGCGGGGCTGACAGAGTACCGAACGAACGGTATTTGGACCAATCGTGGGGTGGGCGACGTGGGCGGCCTTCATTAAGTTTCGTGGAGCTCTTGAACTGTCGAAAACACGGCATTGGGCACATTAAAATTAATTTGATTGACCAGATAGATTTGTTGCACAGCAGTTGTTCTTTTCCCACCTCAGCGCAAGCACTCGCTAGTGAAACGTTGCTGCTGCCTTTCAACCGTAGACTGTGCTGCCCGGTAAAAGTTCACCTCGCTATCAAATTATGTGTTGTATTGCAAGAAGGCCGTAGCACTATTATTCTTCAGGCAACCTCAAAGGCACCCCTGGACAGCGAAAAAAAGACGCTCATGCATGCACCCGGTGTACATTTGGAGATAAAACATGGACGGATGTAGTGCTCCTTACATGAGCACACAACAAAAGCAGATGCAATCTAAAAAAGGGGTAAAGAAGATAACGAACTCCCCTGTTCCTTCGATAAAAAGCTAGAGAGAAGATCAAGCCTTCAGAACGACTGGCCAACCAAAAGACGTCGTCAGTCTCAGTGCGGTCAAAAACAGAAAATATTTGTTTGTCGAGGAAGTGAGAGGGTGTCGTGGAGGAGACTGAGCTATTCTCTGGACAAAAGACAGAAATGGTGGCAACCGAGAGAGGAGAACTACGTGACTGCCAAGGGTTACTACTTTTGAACACGCGTTTGTTCGGAGTGTTGTCATCCTTCCTTACAAGTATTTCATTGACCACCACTACTACACTCTTCACTACAGTACTGGGCCCTCTATAGTGCCGGGTAGTGTCCCGAGAAAATAGCGGCACTATACCGGGCACCGGCAGTATTCAGAACAGTGGCTCAGTAGTGCCGGTCCGGCACTACTGAGGGATATTCGAAGCCTCAGTAGTGCCGGTCCGGCACTACTGAGGAGGTGTTGATTTCATGATGCAGCGCTCAAGCTTTGCGGGACCAACAGAGAACGATGTGGATCGTGGATCGAATATGTATGCATATGTGTATTATTAGTGAACGTCTAAGTCCTCGTTGCCCTCCTTCGATGTTGCCAGAAAAAAAAAGACAACAGAGAACCACGACAGGGAGCGCGCCGCACGAAAATAAACGATCATATGTATCACACCTCTAATTTACCACAGCTGTTCTCCCCGCCCTCGCAACGTATGATAGCAGCAATTCTGTAACGTCTGCCTGGCGCCCTTGGATGTCGCAAGAAAGAATAAAACAACCCCAAGAACACAAGCACGACAGGAAGCGCACCGCACGGAAAATAAATGACCATTACATAAGTACTGTACTCTACCACAGCTGTTCTCCCCGCCCTCGCAACGTAGCAGCAATTCTGTAATGTCTGCCTGGCGCACCCCCTTGGATGTGACAAGAAAAAACGGTGACAGAGAAAAACACGACAGGAAGCGCACCGGAAGAAAAGCAAACAACCATTGCAACATTGCAACACCAGCTGCCCTTCAACCTTACTCTGTACCAGCAACAAACTCTCTCATGTCTGCCTGGCGCACCCGCCTAGCGGAATGCGCTGCAATCATCGCCATCTTCGCTTTCGTTAGGAAGAACGCCGCGTCTGCGTTGCCACTCTCATCTGCTGCCGCTTCCAGGACGCTGAAGTGAGGCGACAGCTCAGTATAATCGGGTGGAGCACGGCGCTCGGGCCCCGAGTTGTCATCGTCACTGCCCTCCACTTCGTCCTCCTCATCACCGCCGGTAGTCACTTGCATTCCAGCCAGCAGTTCCGCCATTTCGTCCGCTGCGTCCAGTCGAAGAGCCTCCGTCACCTCCTCGTCGTCCTCGATGGTAGCCCACCCCCGAATCGCGCTCACCGCTTCTTCCTCGACCGGCTTTCCGGGTTCGATGTCGAGTTCTGCGAAGAGCTCGCTGATTTCCTCGTCTACGATGCCGGCTCCTTGCTTTTGCGCTTCGCCGACGCTCGTGCTCAACTTGTTGACGGTCTCCGTGAGAGCCTTCAGGTCAGGCTCGGCGATGCTGAACCGGGTCTTTCCGTGTTGTGTGGTGAGCTCAGCCGCCATCTCTGACGGAAGCGTGTCGGCCTTGACAAAGCACCTGTGCCAGGTAGCAGAAAATGCAATGCATCCGTTTTGGGGCGGACAAGCGATGTTGGACGGGAGTGACGAAGAATTACTCATGGGGATGCGATAGAGGACCATTTAGTAGAAAGAAAAATGGGCATATCCGGATGCTGCAATACGCAGTCAAAAAAAAAGGAAGAAACCTATGCCACACTGTCCGTACAGCTGTCCCCGCCTGTCCCCACGTATCGCACCACCAAAGCCACGCGCACTTGAGGGAGCTGAAAAAAAAAACAAGCGATACCACACGTTCAAACCTCACCTGGCGATATCCTGGGCGGTGATGCTGGCCCATGCTTTCTTGAGAAGTTCTGCGGCGTCCCGCAGATGAGGTTGGTGCCCTTGCGCCAGCCCCATTGTCCCGGCCTTCATCTTGCGGGCTTTCGCCTGGGCGCGAAGTGTGTCAGCCACCAACATAGTTGATGTCTTCACGTCGAGCAACTCCTTCCTGAAGACCACTTTCGTCTTGGCAATGATCCCCAGATCCATGGGCTGGTGTACGGAGGTGCACTTCGGAGGGTAGAACTTGACGGTCACTTGCCCCCGGTCATCCACGAGATCACCGTGAGAGGCACAGCCGTCCATCAGCAGCAGCACAGGTTCGTGAGTGAAGCGCCGAACGAACGGGAGGAAGACTTGAAGCCACCACTTGAGGAACGTCGCAGAGTCGGACCACGCGTTGGTTTGCGAGTAGTACTTGAGAGGTGAAGGCGCGCTCTTGAAGCAGCGGGGTTCCTTTGCCCTCCCGATGATGGCCATGTCAACCTTCGCAGTGCCGTCGGCGTTGCAGCACATGAAGGCAGACAGTCGGTCCTTGAAGTACATGCTCTTTGAACCCCGCGCCGTCTTCCGATCCTCCGAGGTGGAAAGGTACGTGCGCCTGGGCAGGAGCTTCCACTGGAGGCCTGTCTCGTCGACGTTGAAGATGAACCTAGCCGGGTACTTCGCGCAAAGGGCCCTGACTTCGTCCATGCCCTCCTTGATAGCCGCCATGTTGACGCTACCAGCCTCGCCATGAAGTCGCACGCTGTGGATGTTGTTGCGCTTCACGAAGTTCTTTGCCCACTTCTCGCCGGCCCTGAAGTCCTCGACCTTCGCCCTCACTGCTGCAGAAGTTGCGGTGTCAGCCAGCAGGGTTGTCCTGGCGGAACGGCCGAAGCTTCGAAGGACGTCGCGTGTGACGGGCATCTTGGCCTTCCATGAACTGGGACCCCGTGAGGGGGCAGCATGGGGGAGGCTGTGTGTGTGTGTCCTACAGCAGGTATTCAACCGGCACTATTGCGGGCTGACGTGGCGCCCAACCGGCACTATAACGGGCCATCCCTCAGTAGTGCCGGACCGGCACTATTGAGGGCGCCGTCTGTGTCGAGAGATTTTACAGGCACTATACCGGGCACCGGAACTATTCAACCGGCACTATAGAGGGCCCAGTACTGTAATACTTTTCCACTATTTTTCGGGCTTTCATCTCTGGATTCTGCGCCCCTGCGGCGTTTGTTGTGAGGAAGGTCATCTCGCTCGAAACTATTGTTGTTCCCCTCAACGCCGCTATATTTTCCTCCTGCATCATCACTGCTATCCTTGGCTAACGTTTCCATATCCATCCTTCGTCACTACCACCATCTTCTTTTTCGCTCGCCTCCGTCCTGAAATCCCAGCCTATTGGTGGATCCTAGTCGATCGGTAAACCGTGACATTTGAAGACGTCACGCGTACCGAGAGAAACCGAGCTATACTTGTAGCTCGAAGGGAATCCGTCGCCGAATCCTGTTGGCGTGGAACGCTTAAGGCGAATAATGTGTTGTCTGCTGCTGCTGATGTGTTGTACAGGCGTTTTGGTTTCCGGGGAACGCACCTCCCGCAGCCCAGGTCACAAAAAAGCGACATATATGTCCGTAGAGGTTGCCGCCGCCCCCCCCCCTGATTAAAGAATATGCGCTGACGGGTACGCGGGGGCTCCGTCCCATATGCGGTGTTACTGCTGCTGCTACAAAGTTGTACGTCCAACATGTAGAGCAGAGTACCTACATGTACCGTCACGCAGCAGTGCCATGGAACACACAGCGAGAGATTCACACGCACAGCTTCTGTCCATCGCAGCAGTGCCATGGTACACACAGCGAGGGCTTAACACACACAGCTTCTGTGCGTCCGAAGGTGTGCAGCCAGCAGCTGTGTTTTCTGCTGCTGCTGATGCGTTGTACAAGCGTTTTGGTTTCCGGGGACGCACCTCCCGCAGCCCAGGTCACAAAGAAGCGACATATATGGTATTGTTGTTGTTGTTGTTGTCTTCACATTAAACCGTATGTCAGTTGCTAAATGCCAAAATCTAGCAACGACTCTCAGCCCGTGGTCACGAAATTGCTAGAGCCATCTGAGGATCTAAAGAACACGCACACATATAACGAGAAAAAGGTATCCAAGAGCCCGAAGAGGTACACCTAAAAATCCCTGCAGCACCGTATGCGTGCCCAAAAACTGAACTGCACGTCCGTCCCACCGTTCGACTACAGTAGCATCACCCCCTCCCTGTCCCACTCTATACCAAAACGGAAGATTGCCGACTACAGCATA